CTTAGGCTGGCTCAGGGCGTGCAGCAGGACGCAGTCGGCCGCCTGACCTTTTACCAGACCGGCCTTTTGTACGAGTGGCAGCGTCCACCTCCTCGGGGCATGGCTGCATTGTGAGCACTGCGTTACTGCTGCGTTCTTCCAGTAGGAAGAGCTGGCAGCTGGCAGGGAGAGGGGGCAAGGGGATACCGGGCTCCTGAAGGACATGCCTTGCCAGTGGACACCGGAGATTGCTGTCCAGTCCGTGATACAGGGGTGCTGCTGCTTGGATTGCCATGCACAGCCCGCAGTTACAAGCAGCAGAAGTCATGCTGTTATTCTTTATAGCACTCGCCGCTGTAAGAGCAAAATTGGAACATGATAGGATGACAAACAGCAGTTGGGATTTATGCTTGCAAAGATACACAATACAACTCCTGTTGTTACTACTGGTAATTTTAATATTAGTAACCATTAAATGTTGTCGTCTGGAATTATGCTGACTATATTTGTGCCAGGAGTGGCAGCCTGCAGTTACACGTACATACTATATAATGTTGACCTGTAGATTGATCTTGTCTGATCCCAGAAGCTAAGCCTAGGAACTGACCAGTAGTGGGATTCCCTGAAAAATCCAGTGGTGTTGATGAACGAATATTTGCTAGTCCAAATCGGTATGGAGACTGGGGACACTCTGCTGTGATCATGTAATCATTGGATGAGACAAGCCACCAAGGTGCTGTCTACTTTCTTTTTTATTTTAAATCCCACAGCGGTGTTTAAAACACTCAGGGAGTGCTAACCCTACTGTTCGAGCTACCTTTCACTCTGGACTTGTAAAGTGCAACCTTCATAAAGTTCTGCCTAACTTCCGTTGGTGAATCAATTACTCACTTCTGTAATTTGTAGTCCAGTGGGGCTATTGGCAATCTTGCATCACCCAGCTAGGTGCAGCGCTTCAGTGAATGAATGAAGTAGGTCCCCTCCTGTAAATGTACAGCAGTTTAGAATCCATTTGGATGAAAAGCATTATGTAAATGCAAGGGGCTATTATGAATTCATTAACTTTCCCTAGTTCTACAGAGCAATTTAGCATTTTTAATTTTTTGGAAGCCCCTCTCTCAACCCCCTCTCTCAGGCAAATATCAATAAAAATATTTATTTTTGGGATTTAAGAAATATAATGATTAGTATAAAACTATACTTTGGAACTGACAAATATTATTTCCCCTCAGAGTGTATATATAAAAAAATTCTCTGAAACTGCTAGTGTAGCATTCCTGCATACAAATGTAAGAGTAAGATTTAAAGATAAAAATAGATTTACCTGTAATTCGCTTTGGCTCATGCTATAGTAGGGGCTGTCTAGTGGCTGTCAGAGTCCTGTCAGCACTGTGAATTGTCCATACTCGAGTGTTTGACTTTTAAGTTCACGGGAGATTCTGGTGTTTCTGTCTGCATTTTCCATCTTGAGAGGCAGCATGTTCAAATAAACAAAGTTTGCACAGATCAAAAGAAATGTGATGTGCAGTTCTGGGTAAACAACAGTTAATTGTTTTGTAAAAATAGTGACAGTTTTTCAGAAAAAATACAATTACGTGCTACAGCATAGTTTTCTAATAAATTAATAAATAAATGTTAAGTATGGCTGTGAGGTTTTTTTTTTTACGTTTGTAAGAATTTTTTTTACTGTGGGGATAATCTGAGATCTTCACCAGTAGTGGAAATTAGTCCATCTCACTTTTTAATACTTTTACATGAGTAAAAGAACATAAGTGTTGTTGTAACCCTTGGGCTCCATCCAGCCTGTCTGGTAGTAAGTAGCCAAGTAGCCAACAATCTCATTCAGGTGTTTCTTGGAAGAAGATGGGATATTACCTTGTTCCATGCTCCCACAACACTTTGCATAAAGAAGTGCCTATTATTTACTTCATGTGTAAGACACATGTGGAGGAGATTGAACTCAGGACCTCATTTATGTAAGGCATGAGTTCCCCTACTGAGCTACACCCCTGACATTTTCACCTGCTCTCAGTTAGATTTTAATTACACAGTTCTTGGAGTGAGTGTGTGTGTGTGTGTGTGTGTGTGTGTGTGTGTGTGTGTGTGAGTGTGTGTGAGTGTGTGTGTGGTGGGGGGGGGGGCTTGTCAGTCCCCAGAAAGCAGGTGCAGGGTGGTGTTGGCAGGTTGGGTGACACAGACCTAATTCCCCTCTCTGGGTAACAGCAGTGTCTTCTGACTGAACAATGCTTTTTCATTTCTTAGAATTTTTATTTTGTGGCTGTAACAACAGCTTGAGGGGATAAATGCATTTTGTTACTTATTTTGCAGCAGCAGTAGAGAATAGTAGGTAGGGTTCTGGATTCAGGACTAGCGGGTTATAAGTTAAATTGCTGGATGAGTCATTGATGCTGTTTTCTTGTGCAGTGTGTTTCACTTAGATTGTGTTCTTAAATGCCCTGCTATATAAGTGAATGTGCTCCAGCATATAACTGATTTGTTCTCCATTGAATTTACTGGTTAAAAATAATGAAGTAGGGCTAAATTCTTGTTCTGTTTTCTGCTCCATGACAGGTTCAAGGTGGTTGGTGCTGTATAAGTGGATAGGGGATTTTAAAGAAATGAGTGTCCAGACAGCTCTGGGTGGTTCACCCATTAATTCAACAGGATTAATCACTGATGTTTTCTTTCTGGATCCCAGTGTGTTGTTGTTATAAGCATACCACTTGTAATTAAAACGCTTCTTGTATTTCTTTTGCAAGGATAATGTATCTCCCTTGAACCATTAAATTATCTGATTTTAATGGCAGTAAACCTTTTGACAGTGGGACATGCCATGGCATGCAATATATAGGAGTTTTACATTTCCGGAATTTGTCTTTTAATGAACTAGTCTTTGTGTTGCGAAACAGAATTAAAGGAATATGTAGATCCTCTTTCTTATTAAATCAAGAAATGATGATCGTGTTGATATCCGAGTTTAATGTTAATGCTTCACATCACAGTGTTGTTCATATAATTTAAATGCTAATGGTCCTAAAATGAATTGGGTAATTTTTCTTTCCTTCTGTCTTCCTTTTAGTGATGGAACTGTCTCATTCTCTTGGGCACTGCCTACAGTAGCCTTAATTCCAGGGAAGAGGACATGACAAAGTGTGTTTTTACATATAGTTTAGGTTAGCAATTTTTGCTCATCAATCTTTTACAGGTTTGAGCGAAGATGGTCTGTGTATTAATTTTCACCTAGTAACAGCAATTTTACTCGTAGACACAGAATGTTAATCAAATCAATCTCCATTACCCTCTGGCAGTATGTAGCCTTTTCTTTTTTTTTTTCTTTCCTTTGGAAAGTTAAATTCATATTTCCTTGGTAATTCTGACACATGCCAAAATATGGATTTTGAAACTCAAGATTATTTTTTAGCCCTGCAGTAATAGGAAAAGAAAAAATAAAATCTGTAGATTTAAAAAGTACAAATTTTGAGTTTCTTTGTGAGTTTAACCTGATAAAGTTTTGTTTTGTTTTGTTTGTGGGATGGACAGCTGTCTCAGTGAGGAATCATGGTACAAATATCATTTATGACAAATATACAAATTATAATTTCTAATTTAAAATCTTGGTTTTTCTGTTGACTGGGAATAAAAGTAGGTGGTTTATGAATTCAGAAAGTATTCTCTTTGATTCCTCCTCAGCTACAATGTTGAAAGTGGTGTCTGACTTATGGTGAATGGTGAGCTTTCCGGTCATGAAGATCAGGTGATGACAAGTGCTCAATGATGCCTGTCATCTGAGAGCACTGAGGTAGCAAGAGCTGATGACCTGAGTGCCCAGGTCAGAGAGCTCCTTGGGGCTTGTTTCTATAGCTTTGTCCATAGAGCATAAAGAGTCAGAGAGACACATTTAAAAGATGTTAGTGCAGTGGGTCTTCTTAAACATAGTTCACATGTGACAAGAAGAGAGGTTATTCACAGTTTTTATGTTGTTTATTTAAAGGAAACAACAGTGTAGGTGGATGGGACATTCCGACTAAAGACTGACCATACACAACTCTTGTCCCAGTCTTGACATTTTGATCCACAGTTTGGAACAGTGAATTTAGCCAATGAGATGTCTGCATTTCGCAATAAAAACTGGAGTCTTTTGGAGAGCCCATCCAGGCTTTCAAACTGCATAAGATTGTGTGTGTATGTGTGGTGGTGGGGGGCTTTGCACTGTTCTACTGTCCTTTCCGAAAGAAGAATTTGGGGTGAAATTTTATTTTTTTTATTTAAAGGTTCCCTCACATTAGCATTTTAAAGGGAAGTCGGGAGAGCTGCTGTCATTAGAAGCATTGGCACCTTCTGGGGGCTGAAACATTATTTAACCCCAGCTGTGATCAATGGCTCTCTCTTTAGTCCCAGGCAGACCCAGGGAGTTTAGCCAATTATGGTGGTAATGATCTCGCAGTGGGCTTTATCTTGAATGCCCAGCTGGGTCATTAAGTTTGCATAAGCACTTCACAGCCAGCCAGCCTGACAGAGCAACAAAGCAGTGAGAGCAGCATTTTCAACAAAACCTTTTATTCCAAATTGTTATGAGCTCCCGTTTACTTTGTTTCTTATCCCTCTCCTTTTGCATTTTGCATTTCAATTTGTTTTATTTTTGTAATTTTTCTTAAGATATATGTAAGAGACAGTATTGAATTGGGCTCTTCTTAATTGTTTCTTCCAGCATATAAGAATCAAATGAATTCATTGGTACGTGCTGGTTGCTTACTTGTGCTGTCTGCTTTGTTTTGCCTTGTCAAGTGCTTCACATTATCGCTTGCTAAAATAAAAGGTGCTGTCCAAAATGAAATTGGTTTTAAAGAAAGCACTGACTGGGGAATGGAAGATTTTACTGCTTACCAAAGTATTTTTAATTGTGCCAAGTGAAGAAATGAACCGCCTGAAACTTGAATGCCGGGTTCAAATCGCCGAGCGGTGTGTGTGCGCCGCGCGGGGAACAGCAGAGTCACCGCGTCCGTTGTGTTTCTCTCCTGCAGCCCCTGACCTCCCTCCGAACAAGAGCTCGTCCACGGGGCCGAACGGCAGCCATCTCCAGTGCCTGTCAGTCCACTGCACGGATGACATCGGCGAGGCCAAGAGTCGGGGCCCGGTGCCGTCCTGGCGATCCCTGCACTCCGACATCTCCAACCGCTTCGGCACCTTTGTGGCCGCCCTCACCTGACTAAAATGACTTTCTCTTTTCTACAGAAAAACTAATAATAATAATAATAATAATAATAAGGGGGCCACTACCGTCAGGTGGGACTTTTCTATGTGGTTGGAACCTGTAGAGTGGCATTCGCACCTGTAAACCTCAACATTTTTTTAAGAAAACAAAACAAAAAAAAAGTACTACAGTATGATACCAGTGTTTAGTTTTCTACCAGCGCAGTTATTTTTTAATCGTTATTCTAATTATTATTATTTTTTAAGTTCTTCTTCCTTTCTCCTTTAGATATAGCTAACTCAGACTAGTTTAATACCCCAGACTGGGTGGGCGGGGGGAGGGGGGAGAGTCCAAGCCAGGGCTGAATGGAGTTGTCTCAGAGTGAGCAAGAGTAACAGCAGGGAACGCCACGATGGAAAAAGAGTTCCTGCCCAAAAACTGCCCATATGTGGCCTTTCAAGTTGGAAATGTGAAAATTTGCGTCTCCTAAAGTATTCCCCAATATCGGTTATTTTTTCACCAAAAACAGTTGCTGGCCGTACTAGGGCAGAAATCTCATTGAAGCAGGTTCTTCACTGCAGCACATTCTACCGGCTCCAGGCTGCCATAGAGCCACTGAGATTGTTGTCAGAATGCGTAACAAAATGCTATTGCTTGCTTTTAAAACTTTTCACTAACATGTCCCTTGTTGCTCTCTGCTTTCATGTTCTACCCCTGAGACATTTATGTTCTTGAGACCCTGTTATTTCACCCACTTGGTTAATGTACTAAGCCTGCAAAGGAGGAAGGCCGTATAGAACCAGATTGTACCCTGTTATGACCAGTTCAAGCTATTTAAAAATAGGAATAATTGGATTTTAAACCAGTACGGTGCTGTATTTTTGTACAGGACCGAGTGCTTCTGTCGGCCCAAAATTCTTAAACGAGAAACTAGAGCCACTCTCTTTGTCTTTCCTATTAAAAAGACAACAGCAGACTTTCTGCTACTCTTTTGTTCTCTTGATCTGCGGGCTGAGTTGTCCTTTTGTATATCTCCTCAGATCCCTTTTGAGAAAATCTTATTATAAAAGCAATATTAAAGGCCATTTGAGTTGGCCTCGAAAATATTTTTTATCGGACAAACAAGTTTTCATTTTCCATTGTGGGAATGCACTTCAGCTGACTGTGACCTGATGATTGTCTTTTCTTTGCGGAGATAAACAAAAACAACGTTGGCAAAAATACAGGTAACCCTTTTTAGATTTTCTTTTCGATTTAAAATGAAGAGTTGTGTGTATCTTTTAATCTTGGGTCTAAAACCTTTAAATGGCAAAAAGGAGATTTTAGTAAAAAACGTAAATCAAGTGAATGTGCCAAAAGGGTGAGAGAATGTTTGCAGTGTTTTTGGTTTTTATTTTTAAAGCAAAATGAGATGTATCTGCAGCGCAAATGGGATTGGAAAGGCTTGTTTTTCAGTGACGCATACTGTGCCATGGGCCTGTGTGAACAGATCTCTTTTAGAGCAAAGCCCTGAAGGCCTGTAAATTGAGCCCTTCGGATAGACAGCTCATGATACAACGCGCTCTGAGACCTGTTAGCTGAGTGACTTGCACAACAGATATGAGCTCAAACCAGCCCAAGTAAAAAAAAAACAATTTAATCTTTCTTTTGAAGCCTAACTGTTCACTTCCATTAGCTGTGATATCTTTTAATCGTGTTCTTTCTAATTCCTTTTTTCGAGCATCAGAGAAGGTGTCAAACTAGTTCTTCAGCAGTAACAGAGAGTACATTGTGTTCAGAGCTTTACCCTGTTTTGGGCATGGCCATTTACCAATGCATACTCAAAGCAGATAGGTGTCATCACATGTCCCCAGCTAACCAGATCACCTTTTCAATAAGCAGGTTAAATCAGTGCTGTGTTAGAAGGTGAATCCAGCCCAGATTATTGTCCTTCTCTGCTGTTGGTCCCTTACTGCTTCGGTTTGACAGCAACAACTACCACAGACATATGTGAATGAGAAAAAGAGTGATTGAGAAGAAGCATGTAACAAATGATTTCCCTTCTTTTTTTGTGCTAAAATACTCTCTCAAAACATGGATCATGTATCCAATCGGGCAGATCCAGTGTCTGCACCAGAATCTAGCTCCTTTAGATGCCATTGCTCACTGTTCTATGTGCAGTAGTTTCCTGGCTTTTAGCTGATCAAGTTCCAGTCTAGTTGGTTGAAGATTATCTGTGGTGTATCTTCCAAGTATTATCATGCTCTATATTTGTGTCTTTGCGGAGTTTTTTGCAACAAAAAAATTAAAAAGTAATAAAAAGAAGAGTTTTTCGTCTTAGGAAATCGCTCAAACACTGGTATACAATACTGACTAGAAAAAATCTTTTTAATGAAATAAAAAAGTATTGGTATTGCACATGTAAAATAAGAGAGAAACTTTGCTGTGTGTTAGGCAATCTTGTAATCTTTAAATCTTCTTTTGTTGAATTTGATCTTGGAAACAATGGATAGAAGACTGTGACGATAACTCACAAAATGAGTTTTTTTCTTTTTTTTAAATAATATGTAAAGTGCAGTCTTCTGTTTTCATGCATATTGTATATATCTGTATATGTTTTATTGAGCAACTAAATAACAATAAATATGATGTTAATGGTGACTTTTGTACTTCTTTTTGTGTCACTGTCTTAAAATATTTTATTTTTATTTTGTATGATGCTTTTTTCAAAGAGACTTATTTTTGTTACTTAACTAAGTCTACTTTTAATTTGTAAAGTACTTACTTTGGACAGAGGTACAGCAGGGTCTCACTGAGGACATGCAAACACAAGATTCAGTTATAAGTCCAGAGACCTGACCACTCCTTTGCACAGCTGCCCTGGAATCTTGCTTTTTCAAGAAAGCATGAACATGAATTTCATCCCATCTTGTGAACTTTGCAAGTCTTCATCCTAACAGCCACGTGATCGATTAAGGGATCAGTTTGTCTGTTTTCTGGTGTATATTTGTTTTATCATCCAGTTCAAGTAGAACAGGATACTTGAGTGCTGCTGAAGGCTTTGGAAATATCCATTCCAGAGCTCCAGTCTTACAAATAGATATAGGATAGATAAAGCTGGCTGGTTGTAACCACCACAATAACACATTTTATCCCGCTGGTTTCCATTGCTGTCTTGGTGGCAGATGTTGCCCAGTTGCACAGATCTCTCAGGTACATTGCTAACCCATCATAGGCTGTCCATTTAGCGGAGACATGGAAGTCTGGCTGTCTATTACAAGCAGGGCTTGCATTGTGAAGGAATAGGAGGAGATCTCATTACCTTGTTTACATGAAGCAGTTCACTTTCTAATAATGATCAATCCCCTTGTTAAAAGAACTACAAATATATCATTCATCTTGAAAGAAAGGTTTTTCTGCAGCTCCCTTCCTTGAATTGTAATGTGGATCCTCATTCACACACACTCCTCATTGCCAGTGATGAACCAACGATAGTTCACAGGAACACCCTATCAGTCTGGGCATTACTGTAATATACAGTGACTATACATCCTTTCCAAAGTAACACTCTTTGTGGCCTAACAGCCTGAAATCAAGACACATTATATCAGAATGTATTTGCCCTCGATTTACACATTGTAAATTGTACACATTTACAATTGTAACACAACCTCCAAGAGAAAAACAAATACTCTACCATTCTGAAAACTATTACATATGAAAATGGGCTAGATAAGTGTACAGAATACTGAGTTAGTACTTTGCTTGAATAGTTCTGTTTGGATAGGTCTGTACCAACATAGCCCACCTAGATTTGGCCATGTTTGCCCATCCATGCCTACAGATTGCGAGGGGACTGTTGATGGACTGCAGCCTTTCAACTGGAATGGGATCAGGGCCCATTCAAGGATATTTACCTTTTCATTAACCTTTTAGCAGCTCCACTGTTGCTCTGGCTATGTTCTCACAGTCCCTTGTCGTGTTAAAGGTACATTTCCTTACCACATTACAGTGTGTAAATAAAGGTACAATAAATTCTGATTTAACCTGTCTTAATTTCAGGCTGTTTGGCTGCCAAATGCATTGCTTTGGAAAGGATGTGACTTTCTATAGGCACTGCATGAATTCTGAAATGATCCAACTTTTAAGAAGCATAAGGTTCTTCGCATCCTTCCACCCTGTCTATGTGAATATGTTATCTGGGTCTTATTCTGGGTGAGGCTTCTTATGTGGAAAGGGTTAAATGGATTTCCCCTGTGGGCTGACAGCTCTCTGTACTCGACACTCTGCTCCGTATTGGAAGCCTGTACAGATATATATTGGAAATCAATGACCCACCTCAAACCAAATGCTGGTGTGACCATCATTAATTTAAAATAGCAAACTGACAGGAACCATGATGCATTTCCCAGTCAGATTTTGTTTTCAATTTTTATTTATGTTTTTTTTACATAACAATTATTTCCTTCCCATTTACAGTTCACCCTTAACAATACAAAGTGGCAGATTTTTCATACGAAGTACAAAAAAACCAAACATTTAGCTTGCACTATGGCTCAATATGTGTATTCATCCAGCTGTAATCAAAGCCTTTTCAGTTTCACGGTTTTAAAATGCAGATATATGAATCAGAGGTCAGTTATGGCTAAATGTTTTTAAAAAAATTAGCTAATCTTTACCAAGTACTTAAAACAGAAATAATGTATTCTTGGATAGTACCCATGATGCAATAGCAAAAAATAAGAATATTTGCAATCCTGTAACCGAGTGATACTCTGTGCCTGGACTGTTTTAGAAAGAACTCCTTGGCAACCCTGGTTGCTAGGACCTATTGACATGGATGATGCTGCATTCTAACAAGAGGGGGATGTCTTATCTCAACACAGTAACCATGACAAACGTATCCATATATTCCAATTATGTGCATTTTTTGAAATTCTCAGACTGAACATTTCCAAAATGCTGGTAAGAAGATCAGATGCTAGTTGAGAATCTGGTTGCTGACATGTCATATAGTCCAGCAGCTGATTGGTCGATATGTAATGGATCTGATACGCGTCTGAGGTATGTGCTGCAGCTTAATTAAAACCCTCTCTTCTTTGGACGCAAACTCGGAAGATAAGACCCTGAGATAGCAGGCTGCTCTATCTAGGAGTTTGTTTTGTTAATTCAAGGCACTGAGTGAAGAAACACAGCAGTCATGTCTGATGGATTGAATCAAACATACAAAAATTACAGCGAATGTGAAAAAAAAAATACTGATCCAAAGAATTATGAAACAGTGTCATGAGAAGGGTGTAATCTCACTGAGTATTAACGCAATGCAGGACGTTTGGGATCTTCTTATTATTATTATTGATTTCCACCAAAGCAACTTGAAAATATTTTTTAATTTGGATTCACACACATCTATACCTCAAAACATTGGACTGGAGCCATGTTTTGAGTGACATACAGCACCTTGCTCAAGCATCCCGCCTTGGATTTGAACCCGAGACTCTCTGGCCCAAAGTCCAGTGTTCTGGCTAGACAATGTCCAGATTCTGGATGGCAGTGCAGCCTGTTGGCAAGACAGGGTACCAATGGGTACAAATATAATTTCTATTGTTTATCTTTTTGTTTGCTTTAGTAAAAGAATTACATTGCTGGAAATATGTTGTTGTTGAAATCTTACATAGTATTACAAATTGACTTCTAGCACATGAAGACACAGTGACTCTGTGGCTAGCATTGCAGCCTCACAACATTGTGACCCTGGGCTCAATTCCTGAGGTGCTATCTGCATGGAGTTTGTGTGTTCCCCCTATGTTCACATGGGTTTCCTCTGGATGCTCTGGTCTCCTACAGTCCATTAACTTACTGGTAGGTTCATTGGCCTCTAGCAAAAGTGTCCCTTCCAGGTTGTATCCTGCTGTGCAGGGCGGTTATGTTTAGTGTTAGCTGTTCATGTTGTGTTTTTTTTGTGTTCACTGTTTAAAAGTGTATTGTGGATATTTTGTGCCAAGAGCTCTTGGTGGACCTCTTCATTCATTAAACTGCCAACAGCATGTTATCCATGTCTTCATTTTTTCCTGCAGATTATATAATTATAAACTTTTTCATGGACTCTGGGAAACATACTGGGAGTCACAAGGAAAATGAATAAACTTCAAAATATGGCATCTAAAATAGTCTGGGAATAATTCTTATCATGACTTGTGCCTTGATATCAAGCCTCTCAGACAGTAAATTCCTATAAATATATCTAATTTATTTGTTTAAAGGCGATATACATCTTTGAGAAAATACCACACTGTTGGCTTAATATATGTGTATGTTTGCTTTTAAAGGCACAGGCGGCTGAGTTCACCACCTCCGACAAGCCTGATATGTAAACGTTCTCTTCACACATGTTCACACCATGGCCTCTTCACCATAAGCCTGCACATGCATTGAGGGGAGTGCAGAATGCTCTCATCCTTCGACACAATGGACTCCACTGTTAAACTGAAATAGTTTTTAATTATAAAAGTTTTTTTTTGTAAAGAAAGGTTAGGGGGGGGTTCTTACATTTCATTTTCAAATCTCCGTCAGACAGAAAAGAAAACAGAGTTGGGAAGAGAAAGGGGTGGCGAAGCTGTGGATCGGGGGGGGGGATTGGAATTCTTCCAAACGGTGCCTTTTGCTTTCAAGAAAACTTTACTGTGTAAATGTGCTCTTTGTGCAGCAGCCTATTGTTTGAACAGCATTGTGTGTTTGCACTGGGGGGTGGCGATAGTGGTTTGTGGTTTAGGGTGATGTGGGGGGGTTGAGGGCAAGGTGGGGGGGCAGTGAGGGAAAGAATTCGAAAGGCTTTGACCTCCATGGATCTGGACTGGGAC